TACGATACACGGAGGTGGAAAGCTTGCCGTTTGAGCGAGTTATTTTACGTCAAGAAAGGGGCGTGTTGTCTTTTTCCAGTTCAGATGTAAAGGAGATGTTAGGATGTTGGTGGTTGAGATAGGTAAGGAAAAGAGGTATGTGATCCAATGATCGGAAGAGTAGAAAGCAATCGTCAACGTAACGTTGGTAAAGAAGGTGTTTAAAGGTGGAGGGACAATGGTGAAGCCATGAATTCTCATTGAAGGCCATAAATATGTTCGCAAATACTGGGCCTAGGGGGCTGCCCATAGCCACACCATCAATCTGTTGATAAACTTGGCCGTTAAAGAAGAAATGACAGTTTTGACGGAGAGGAGAGAAGTTGAGTGAATTATGAACGGTCAAGGCCTTGAAAGGACGTGTTATTGGAGAAGATGTGATTAGTTATTATGGCGATTGTTTCATCAACTGGGATGTTGATGAACAATGATTTAACATAAAAGCTCACCATCACAACGTTATTGGCGTTAATGTCACTTTGTAAAAGATCTTGGACAAAAGAGAAAGAGTCCTTGATAACATGGGAGCTGGCAGAGATAGGTGTAAGGAAAGGAATAAAGAATTTGGCTAGCTTGTAGGAGTAGTGGTCAATACTAGATAAGATTGGTCTTAGAGGGATGGAGGATTTATGAATTTTAGGGAGTCCATATAGTATGCCGATACGTGTACCAGTGGGATAAATTTCGTTGTATGTTTTTTCATTTATGCATTTTTCTGCCTTTAGTTTTCTCAGCAACGTCTTTACTTGATTCTCGCGTTTCAGTGTAATTTTGATGGCATCATCATTTAGAAGTTCGAATTTCGATGTGTCCGCTAGAATTTCCATCATCTTTTATTCAGAATAACAACTCCGTTACCTTTATAAGGCTTTTTTTAAAAGTCTTATGTTGGGCTATTATGTTCATATTGAAAATTCGCTTTCCGCCTGGCAAATCTCTGGCCACGATTTTAAATAAACGCTACAAAAACGGAGCACTCTAAGCGTTCAGGAAATTCCAGCGTCTTGAACTCAAGCTTGGAAAAGCCAAACTCGACCTAGAGTTCCTTACTATGTGTAAGAAGCGCTCAATAATACCAAGATTCCTATGGTTTAAGGTTGCTAATTGCAGATTGCGATCCTCTAGCGCCTATCGACAATGTCAACACAAATTGTTACAAGAAGAAATAAACACAAAGCACGCTCAGATACGAGTACTGTCATCACAAGCTACGACCGCACATTCAAGACTGGCATCTTTGGTTTCAAACCTTGACTTCATTCACCTAAAACATGTTTCTGATCGTGAGAACTCAAAAAAACTAAGCCATCAACAACGCACCCAAGACCGCAAGATATTTCGCCTTAGCACTGGACAGATTAACACAAACCCAATCAACCCTGACGACGTAGTTTTCAATTTCTCAAATCGTTTCATCACCCAAAAAGAAAAAGAAATCCTTTCGAAGGGCCTCAACTTTGCTTTTCCACCTGGCAAACTAAACTCGTGCACTTCCCTCACACCATTTGAGAAGTTTTACAATCGCTTTCAACAAGAACCCGTCCACACACCCTCTTGCTTTTTTCCTGACTCAATTAAAGCTAAACTAAAGGACATAGCTTACTCGGGTTTTCGCAGTTACAGCCGACCGAATGCCTTATACAAGGAGAATGAACTAAACGGGTTAAATGATCTGAGAAATGACAACAACATAGTCATCCTGAAACCGGATAAAGGCAACGGAGTTGTTATTCTGAATAAAAACGACTACCCCAATAAGATGATGGAAATTCTAGTGGACACATCGAAATTCGAACTTCTAAAAGATGATGCCATCAAAATTACACTGAAACACGAGAATCAAGTAAACCAGCTATGAACACTTTCATACCGAACTAGAAGTTGTTAGAAAATTGTTCACCTTAAACAACTTCCCTTCATACATATTTGACAATCATGTTCACCGCTTCCTCAACAATACATTTGAACCCAAAGATCTTATTCACACTGCTATTAAGAAAATCATGTACTTCTGTCTCCCTTTCACTGGCCTACACTGTCTTCAGATTCGCACTCAAATCACTCGACTCTGCAATGCTGCCTTTCCTCATATCAACGTTCGCTTTGTTTTTGTTCTTTCAGGCGTCTCTCCTCTTTCCTTTTTAAAGATAGGGTTCCCAAGCTCCTGAGATCTGGTGTTGTATACTCATTTAAGTGTCGATGCTGCTCTGCATCGTATGTGGGCAAACCAGACGTCACTTACTCACCAGAATATCAGAACACTTGGAATCTCTCTTAACAGGGAAGCCTTCCTTATATCCACCACCATCTGCAGTTCTTTCTCATATAAGAAATACATCTCACTCTGCCGATTTTAATGATTTCTCAATTCTGTCTTCCTCCTCCAACAATTATGACCATGTGATTCATGAAAGCCTTCTTATATCCAAACTTAAACCCTCTCTTAACACCCAAGGCAACTCAATCCCCCTTCACCTTCTTTAATATACCGCCATTCTCACTTAATTCCGTCATCTAAAATTCTTACTCCCCTCACATGTAATTTAACACTCCGTAATACATGCTTGCATTTAAAACCTCGTGTATATAAATTAACTCAAATAATCTGAAGATGTCTTAATTTAAAGACGAAACGTTATTAATAAATCCTTCTCTATTTTATTATTGTGATGGCTTTTTTAAAAGTCTTGTGATGGCTTTTTGAAAAATCTCTTTTAAAAAGTATTGTGATGGCTTTTTTAAAAATCTCTGGCCACGATTTTAAATAAAAGCTACAAAAACGGAGCACTCGAAGCGTTCAGGAAATTCCAGCGTCTTGAACTCAAATCCTTCTCTATTAATAAATTCTTCTCTATTTTATTATTGTGATGGCTTTTTTAAAAGTCTTATGTTGGGCTATTATGTTCATATTGAAAATTCGCTTTCCGCCTGCCAAATCTCTGGCCACGATTTGAAAAAGATCTATTTGAACCTGCACAGGCTCTTTATACGTCACAGATAAAGAGATCTCTTTAAACCTGCTCACGTTTTTCATATGTCACAGATAAAGAGATCTCTTTGAACTTACTCACGATCTTCATATGTCCCACTTATACGATCTCTTTGAACCTGCTCAGGCTCTTCATATGTCACAGATAAAGATATCTCTTCGAACCTACTCAGGTTCTTCATATGTCACAGATAGAGAGACCTCTCTGAACCTCCTCAGGTTCTTCATACGTCATTGATAAAGAGATCTCTTTGAACCTACTCAGGATCTTCATATGTCCCAATAATAAGATCTCTTTGAACCTGCTCAGGCTCTTCATATGTCACAAATAAAGAGATCTCTTTGAACCTGCTCAAGCTCTTTATACATCACAGATAAAGAGATCTCTTTGAACCTGCTCAGGTTCTTCATATGTCACAGATAAAGATATCTCTTTGAACCTGATCAGGCTCTTTATATGTCACAAATAAAGATATCTCTTTGAACTTGCTCAGGCTCTTCATATGTCACAAATAACGAGATCTCTTTGAACCTGCTCAAGCTCTTTATACATCACAGATAAAGAGATCTCTCTAAACCAACTCAGGCTCCTCATATGTCACAGATAAAGTTATCTCTTTGAACCTCCTCAGGCTCTTTATACATCACAGATAAAGAGATCTCTTTGAACCCGCTCAGGATCTTCATAAGTCACAGATAAAGAGATTTTTTTGAACCTCCTCAGGTTCTTGATGTGTAACATATAAAGATATCTCTTTGAACCTCGTCAAGCTCTTCATATGTCACAGATAGAGAGATCTCTTTGAACCCGCTCAGGATCTTCATATGTCACATATAAAGAGATCTCTTTGAACCCGCTCAGGCTCTTCATATGTCAAAATTAAGATTTCTCTTTGAAACTGCTCAGGCTCTTCATATGTCACAGATAAAGAGATCTTTTGCGCGCTTGTATATGTTATAAATAAAAGCTTTCACTTACACGGGACCAAAACGTAACTCATCTCTAAAAATTTCGTCGATGTTGACTATCAGTTGTTTAAAAATTCTTTTCCTCCATAGCGCTGTAATTGTGTTTCATTCTGTCCAAAACCTCCACGTGAACCAACACATAATATCTTACAAGATGGTGAAGTGATAGCCACAGTACATTCTCACATGGATCCAGTGGAGAAACAATTAAGACCATCACATTGCGTGGCTGGATTTGATGATGGAACCGTAAGACTCTTTGATCTTGGAAGAGTTGAAATGATTATGAAAATACATCCTCATTCTGGGGGCGTTACTGTTATCAATTTTTCTTCCTGTGGTAAGGACCAGTCGCTGCTTGATACATGCAGAATCTACCTATAGTATGTAGTGGTATATGTTGTATCTACCTATAGTATACATTTATATATGTTGTATCTATCTATAGTATACAGTGATATATATTGTATCTACCTATAGTGTACAGTGATATACTTTGTATCTACCTATAGTATACACTGCTATATGTTGTATCTACATATAGTATACAATGGTGTATGTGGTATCCACCTGTATATGTGATATCTATCAATAGAATACAGTGATATAAGTGGTATAGTATACAGTGGTATGTGTGGTATCTACCTTATAGTTTGTTCTTCATCTACCCCCTGTTGTCCTCTTGTTAAGGATAACTTTGGAGCTTATGAATAACTTGTAATTTTTAAGTATAAAATATTATGGCTGAGGATGACTTGGTGTTGTTAAGAATATTGGAATGCTTGAGGATAAGCTGGGATTGTGGATGTTGACTTGTGTTGTTTTTATAACTTGGGTTTGTTAAGTATAACTTAGGATGGTAGATTATTTGATTATTTGGTTATGAAAATCATCGAGTCCAATTATAGTTCAACTCTAGTGGTCAAATTGAACGTTGACAATTTTGACGTACCTTAGAAATGAATTTGTTGTATAGGTCGTGTTTTTATGAGTGTTAGTACAGATGGTGTGGTAGGCATAAGTAGTCCTGCTACTGGCCTCACTGTCCGTTTGATCCAAGATCATAAGGGAGGACCAATCACTGATATGGACATTGCTTCACATAAGGTACAATGAAAAACACTCTGCAAAAAATAGAAATGAGTAAGAAATAAAAGATTTTCACTGTGTTTGTACGGGCTTATGCAAACGGAAGAGTTCTTTGGGAGAACTTGAGAGCAGATTAGTGCACCTGTTTTTAGAGTTGTCATGAGCCTCTCCAAGGTTTGCATAAGCCTGTGCCAACACAAAAACATCTTTTATTTCTTATCTAAAATAGCAATAATGCGAAAGTTTCAGAGAAATGTTTTTATTTTTGCTTTAACATGTATTCATGATTGATATGCAAATTCTCTTTGATTGATTAATTAATTGAGCTCAGACCAGTCCACACAAACTAATGCAAACTCAGCTATGGACCAATCAGTGAAAACGTTTATTTATGTTGTTTTATGAATAAAAAATCTTAACCTATTTCAAAATGTTTTTGAAGCACTTTCGCAATATTTACCAAACTTAACATCTTACTGGTTATTGATGATGAATACTATATGGCAAGCGTCACTTCCGGCTAAATGAGGCGCTTTGATTGGCTCAGAAATATTTTTGCCGGTCCATTATTTTCCCGTAATCGACCACGGTCCAAAACGCGTAATTTTACTGTCAAATGTAAACAAACTTCTTAAAGCAAACAGCAAAACTCGAAATAAACGAAACAAAAAAACATTTACGAATGTAATTCGAAGGAAAAACACTTGGAAAACTATCTAGACGATACAATTATGAAACGAGTTTACTTTTTATGGACGAAAACTAGAAAAGTGAAAATCAACCCGTAAAAGCGCAAGGACGAGAAAGCAAGCTTCGTTTCAGGTCAAATAATGCCATCTAATAATCTATTTAATAACCTCGCTTTCTCGGTCTTTACTGAGAAATATCAGACCTCTGTCTTTTTTGTACAACCTCGCCCTACGGGATCGGTCTGTACAAAAAAACTTCTGTCCATTGTTTCTCTGTAAAGACGTCGCGCTTGGTCATTAAGGGCTTTTTAATAATCAAAACCTTGTTTTTAGAACGATCATCTATCATTCAATTCTCCCAGATTGTGGCTTATTGCGAGTGCTGATCGTAGGGTTAGCGTATGGAAGGCGGATTGGTCGAAGGATTTCTGCGAGCTTGTTGATTGGTTAACTTTTCCCGCTCCAAATATAACACTTGAAGGAATTGCTTTGAAAAAAGACGATGCGGTGAGAAATTGTAGTTTGTTTCTTGTCTTGATTGTAGTTGCTCAAGATAATGAAAGATGAATAAATTATTATGGAAAACTGTTTTAATAAGTTTGAAATAAGCATGTTTTCTCCCTTTGAAGTCTGCGTATTTGCATCTACCGCCAAGTTTGGCAAGATTCTCGCCAACAGAGCCCGATGTTATTGTGTACAGTGGTTATGGTCTGAGAAAACTGATACAATTCTACAGCTTGTCCCAGAGAAAGGTCAGTATTTGTAAGAGGTCTGTGCTTGGAGCAGACAAAATATCCATCATTGATGGAAATGTGTTCATTGTCAGGTTTTCGAACTATTTTGTTGACACAATGGGCTTCTTGCTTGGAAATATCGCCTAAGGGTCATTTAATTGCTGTTGGAACCAAAGGTATAAATTAAGAAGTTTTTACAACGTTCTGCAAAACAACACTGAATGATTTGAAAATCCTTTCTATATCTTGAAAGATAATAGTTTGAAATCGTTAAAGTTTCTTTATCTACTCCAACTTATGTCAATTTTTCTCATCTAGTTTTCTTCCATTAGTAAAACTGGATTATCGATGGTTTTCTGAGAATAAAATTAAGATCACAATTTAGGGTTACGTATCCCACATGGTTTAAGTCTAAAAAAACGTCCCAAATCGACGTAGCTACGTCGGAAATACGAATCAAAAAAGCACTAGGTGAAATTCTCATTAAAAAGTTTTTTTTTTCTTTTCAGCGCTTCTTTTATTTCCTCGAGAATTAATAACACCCAATGCTTTAGTTTACAATCACTTAATTAGGTATTTTTGCTGTCTGTAATTTTCTTTTTGTTTTAGATCGACTAGTGAAAGTAATTGATTATGATAAAGGTAGCTTTCAAGATTTCGATATGCATTGTGACTCTATTAGCCATGTGACATTTTCTCCGACCGGAGATAAACTGTTTTCCGTTGGTTTTTCGGATGTTGCTTTGTGGAAGGTGTTGATATAGAGAGACGTCCTTATTACACAATCTTGGCAAAACAATATAAAGTCGAAGGCTGGTGCGCTATAGTCTATGACCCGTCAATTTAAAAACTCGACATTTTATCGGCTTATTGAGAGCAATAGAGAGATATGCGTAAAATATAAAATGTATAATACATTCTTATTTATGAAAGGAAAGTAAAACCAGCAAAATTTTGTTTTGTTTGTTAAAGAGCAAAAGATTCTTGTTGCAAGAAAGTAGCATGGAATTCATGGCTTGAGAGAGACAGCAATATAATAGATGATTTTGCCAATATAAAAAGCTTCCATACAAACAATGTTTTTAAATGAAAGAGAACTATTTCAGTGCAGCCCTTGAAAAATACTTTAATTGCTGGCGGAGGGTGGGAGGCTAGTGCTAATCTGACTTAGCCCAAGTTGATAACAAGATTTATGATCGAGAACATGGACGCAGAATTGTGATAAGGAAATGAATTTGGTCCTTAGTTGGCATATAATGATAATACACATCATTACGCAATACGCGAATATAAAACGACGACATTTTTCCATGCTTTTTTTTAACACGTCTTCATTAAGGCTCCGTTTACAATATACCGGATTGCTATCGCAGGAGGTTGAATATTCTTTATATTAAAAGGCAGTAAAATTGTTCAGCGTCAGAAACACGATCAAATAGACTAAATCTATCCGCTTAATAAGCTTTTACTCCGAACAGTTATCCCTTTTAAAGCAAATGAAGATGTCGTGATGAGCAAATCCGGTATAGTGTAAACGCAGCCAAAACGTTATTTTTTAAGGAATAATAAATTTAAATACTTCGGTATACGAATAATGAATTCATATTAACCTCGTCTACGCTGTTTTAACCTCAGAAGAACCTTTTATAACGGTTCTCCTGAACGCCATACTTTCTGTAAATATCAACCTTTTACAAAATTTCCAGAGGCAGAAAACTGGAGCAGCCGGAGAAAAATGCAAGCAAAGCTCACAAACTCATCTCACATTCGCAAGCTAATTTTATTTTGACCAGGAACGAACTCGCAAAACAGCTGTAGAATGCATTGAGTTTGACCTTAGTGCCACTGTAGGTGCTCACTCCGATGAAGTTGAGATAGATTCAGTTTATTGTTTTGTCAATCTTTACTGCTGACAAGGTCATTGAATTGTTTAATTAGGCGTAGAAAGTGAATGGGGTGTGTGTAATTCAGATAATATATTAATTGATAAGAATGAATGCACGCAACGCACAGAACATGAATGGACCAGAAATTGACTAGAAGCACAAATATCAATGCTGTTAGATATAGTTATAAGACCGTCAACGAGCAGATATAAGCTAAGATCAAGACTTAACTACGGATTTTACAAGAATTATCAAAGTTTGCCAATATCAAATTTTTATACCCTTAAGTGCTAATGACATCGGCCTATACGGAACGTCCATTGTCCCCAATAATCCGTTTCTACAGCAATGGACTTGGGTTTACATTAATGAAGTTTCACTTAACTTCGTTTTGACCGTGATATAGAGTGGTTTTGTATAAAATATAATAAACTAAAATCTTACTGCATATTTCAAGGATATATAAGGGAATACTAAAACTTATATCAAGAAGTATATGGGTATTTTCCATAATCACACTGGTAATTGAATTTTAAATATTAATGCTGACTTCTGGGATACATGTTAGTGGAAAGAATAGATTCAGACGTCAGACCTTTTCTACCTCGTGGTCGTTAAATTCATTTAGTTTCATGTCGTCTTCATTGAAACGTGCTCTGACAATATTTATTCTGGTAAGTGTGAATTTTAGCTGTTTTCATCGTGTTAAAGGGAAGTATAGCAAAGCTAAAACAATCAATACAACACAACAGCCTATTTTATTTTCGAGATAACTTAAAATGACGCTTGTTCGTTGACAAATTTCTAGAGAATATTTTACCAATTGGATTTTAAACTATTCACCATTTCAAATGCTTTTATTTTAATGTGGAATGGGTGACTTGCGTAACGTTGAACGGGGGAATATTTTGCACTAAAAGTTTCCGCTTATTGACTTGTTTTATCTCCAAAACTCTGGAAAATTAGCTTCAGTTAAATAGTTGAGGGTAAAACGTCGAGCGCCAGGTATCTAAGAACGTAGCTTGATGATTTTCCGATTTTAAAGTAAACCATATCGCTGTCTATTCATGAATAAGAAAACAAAACGGAAAATTTGTCTTTTCACCATTCAATTCTCTATATTTGCCAGATATTTGCTTATTTTTAAAACAAAATGGCGGACACCAGGCAATTTTACTTCCTGTGTCCAAACTCTTTCGCAAAATCATTCTTCCGTGAGGAGAATGGTAGCGATTTTGAAATAGAATCGATTTTTTTAGGTTTTGAAAAAGAGTTGCGCGATGTCTTCCAATTCATCTCATGATGAATCTGAACGTTCGTCATCTCCCAGCTTTCCTGAATATGAGATATGTATGAGCGAGGTATAAATAATTAAATATTTCAAGTATTGATCTTCTGGTGAGCTTTTCACATTACGATTAAAACATTCTTTTTTATTTAGAAACTAGACGGTATTCCACCATCGCATGTTGTCAACATTGAAACAAATATGGCGATACGTTGTTTGTGTTATTTTCATCAATGAAAAGTTTCTTGTACAGCTACAAGAGCGATACACTAGGACTTATAAGTGAAGATTTCAAATCTGATGTCAAGAAATTCATGGATATAAAATTTGAAAAGAGCTCGAAAAAAAGTGTTAGTTTTTGATACAAAATGGGCCGTCTCTTGGGACGGTTCTTTAATAGCTGCAAGTGCAGCACTCAATCATCGTCACAGATATAATATTATCAATTTTGTTTTGATTGTTTTGCCATCCCAGATAATGAGGTCGGCAAGTTACCTAAACCGTTATATTGCATAAACTGTGTTGATGCTCGCTTCTCAACTTATATTCTTCCCAGATGGAAGGAGAATTGCAGTAACTATTTGTTTGGATCCTGATTTCCCCATTACTTGTACCGTTTTGGTGTCGTGTGTATAAACTACCGGACGGTTTGTGGAACGTAGAAGATTCTATAAAGACGGACCCGACCAATGGATTGATCTTAATGTTGAATATAGTGGAGTTGATTGCATTCAGTTAGGTTGTCCTATACTTAATACGGATCTTGAGTTTAATGAGCGTGACGAGCAAGTGTTAAAAGAAAGACGTGAAAGTGGGAATGAAAGTGATGTTGAAGATTTTTACATTTGCGGGCGGAGTATCGTGCTGATGGCTTTAGTTGTTTGGCTCTATCTCCTGATGCCAGCCGTCTTTTGGCAGGAAGCACTGATGGTGAACTGTTCTATTTTGACGCTGACAGTTTAAAACTACTACAACGTGTTCGTGTTTACGATTATTATTCAGCAGTTAAAAATGCTGCTACAATCCTGCATTTGGCCGTGAATTTGCAATATGTGATCGTTACGGGCTGTTTTGTGTGTGGCGCGTTTTAAATCTTTCTGACAATTCTGAAAATTTCCAATTTGCCTATCGAAAAGGTTAGCTGTTCACCCAAAACATCACAATTACTTTGATTTGCTTAATGATATCAGTTATTCTCCTGACGGAAAACTTATTGCTGTTACCATAGCTTGTCCGATTGATTACATTGTTAAGACGTTCATTATTGGCTCGCGTTCTGGTCAAATTTGTTATACGTTGGATTGCGTTGATGATCCTGATCGACAGTGTCCGAAATCTGAGTGTCTGACCTCGTTCTTTGGTAATTTGTGTCAAGTTGCTTCAGTTACAAGTGTTCATCCTCGCGTTTTTTTCTGGAAGTTACCTGTTGTCTACGATTTACAGACATTGTGTTTACTCACAATCAAAGCACTTATCTCTTATAATAATGTTGAAAACTCAACATACCTTTTGTTTAAAAAGAGTTGAAGTATATTTATTCTTACTGTACTTGAGAATGTCATTTAATAACTATCGTCCGTTGGGCGTTCTATCACAGCAGTGATGCTTAAAACCTGGACTTCTATTGGTTATAACTCGTAAACATGTGCATTTGAATCTATGTTGGCTAATTCATAACACGTGAGTGTATTCGAAAACTTCTATTGACTGTAGACTTGTTGTTAGTTAAAACTACCATGCAACTGGATTTGTAAAAATTATAAATTTGAATAGATAGAAATATTTATTCAAAGACGTTTAATTACCTCATCAAATTACGTTAATTTCCACCAGGGCATATGAAGTAGAAATTTTTAAAATGATATAAGCTACATAAAAGTAATTTATAAAACACTTAAATACGTAAACACTTAGTAACTAAATTATTAAGCCCTTAATAACCGAATGCGAGGTCTTTAATATCGGACCGACGTCTTTGTACAGACCGAGGTAGGACGAGGTTTGTACTCAGGTCTGATATTTCTCAGTAAAGTCCGAAAGTGAGGTTATTAAAAGATTTATTATATGGCATTATTTAACTTGAAACGAAGCTTGCTTTTTCTCGTCTTTGCTGTTTTACTGGTTGGCTTTCACTTTTCTAGTTTTGTCCATAAAAGATAAATCGTTTCAAATTGTATCGTCTGGATAGTTAAACTGTTTTCCAAGGTTTTTCCTTCGAATCACATTCGTAAATGGTTTTTATTTCGTTTGGTTTGCATTTTGCTGTTTGCATTACAAAGTTTGTTTACATTTGACTGTAAAATTATGCGTTTTGGACCGTGGTTGATTACAGGAAATAATGGATCGGTAGAAATGTTTCTAAGCTAATCAAATCGCACCATTTAGCCGGAAGTGACGCTTGCCACGAAATAATAAATATTTATTTATTAAAAATTAAATATTTTGATAAACAAAAGCACTAAAATACAAATGAAAGATACTCTTTATGACTAGACATAGTGTATATAAGTTTAATTCATTAACAGAAATGTAATATTCCTTTACTAATGTTTAATTTTCATTTTGAGCTGCAATTTTGTTTTAAAGGAAGAAAAGGGATTAACTCTCTCTAACATTAGTTCGAAAGGAATGCTTCATTATAAGACTTTTAGAACGTGAGTCTAGTAGACAAAGATAACTTGCAATATTCCGTAGATTTTAGATATAGTCTCATCAACGAGTTTCGTCACAAAACATCGATCACCAATCGTAAAACTTTTTGACAATACAAAATACAAA